GGAAGAATGGTCAAAAATTCCTATAAACACACTCCTCAACCTTGTGGACAGCCTTCCCAGAAGAGTTGAAGCTGTAATAGCTGCAAAAGGTGGACCGACATCATATTGAACCCTATGGGTTAGGAATGGGATGGCACTTAAGTTCATATGTGAGTCAAGGCAGGTGACCGAATACTTTTGGTAATATAGTGTATCTCTACAGCGCTTTGGTGCATTGACACCAGACTTGGTGTATCTTATAACAACCATGACCTGAAAGTACATGAGTAGTTTTGGAACAGTGCCACCTACTGGTCATGAGATATGAAAAATTGCTATTTTTGCTTATAATTTCTGTACAGATTGTCCAAAATCATGGAACTGATATACACAATTTTATGCATGCTCGTAAAGTTCTTAAAGTGCTTGAACTCTGATAATTTCTGTTCGCAGCTATATTTATCCTTTTCTTTGATTACATATAGCAATTTCAAATGTTTGAATATTTGTCCTCTCCCACCAACCTGGCAAATGTAGAAGCACACTGCTGATTCCATTGTAATGTGGTCAGGACAATCTTTTTCCAACAGTGCAGTTGCTTTGTTAAATGTTTCCTCACATTTCATGGCAACCATATTTGCCATTCTTCCAGCTGATTGCAGGTGTTTTATCACCTGAAAATAAGTGTCTGTCTTGCAAAGGAGCACATCAGACAAGTCGTCCAAACGTCAATTTCTTATCCTTGATAAAAACTGATATTTCAATCAATGGAAGAACCGGAAAAACAGGAATTTCATGTTATTTGTCATAACTATATATATATACTATATATATCTGGAAGGACATTCTAATACATAATTTGTGTTCATGTTTTTTTTGTTAATGTTTTATTGTAAAAAAAATTGAAAAGGTTCTTATTTTCCAGGCATTACACTGCATTATGTTTATATTCAATTTATGGTATTATTTTTTACCTGTGCTGCTTCTGGGAAACTTACTTATTTTGCCTTAAGCTCTGCAGAGAGAAATTACATTCCAATCAAATTATTGGTCTCTGAATCTCCATGTTTATAACACCATCCATAATCAGCCCATGTACGAATGATTGGTTCCCAGTACCTCTGAAAGTAAAGGCAAACCTCTTGATAGTCTAGAAAAAACCTTTTAGCTACCCTGTAAAAGTCATCTTTCTGCAATGGAAAGAAAAGAGGTATTGTCACTATGTAATCAAAACAGCAACTACCTAAAAGCTTAAATACATCCCTGAGCATATCTTTCTTTCTCCGTTGCTCTGCAAAAAAAAGGCACGCATTTTTTTCACATTCTCTACCCATGCACATATGAACTTAAATGTGTGATATTCTGTCATTTACAAAGCATGATGCCACTTAATGGACAAGTGTACTATATGCACCAAAATTTTGGCCACTGAAAATTTATAGACCAAAATGCCACTTTCGTTTTTTGTGCAAAAGAGAAAAAACATAAACAAACAAAACATGTAAATACAAGTACCTTAGCAGAGGATTTCATTTTCTGGAAACAATCTAGAATGAAACAATCTGGGTAGTTGAAGAAGATGGCCCACAGATACCAGAACCTGACTTTATCAACCATCGAACAACTGCCTGTGAACCATATATGCAATTAAGTTGTATCATGCATGTATCATTAAACTTAATGATAGTTAAATTGATGTGGAAAAAGCATGTGTTTTTTGTTTATTACTTACTTGGAAAACATGGTACCAGCAGAGAAGAACATCAGATTCTGAGAAGACTTGATTCAAAGCATTTATTTCACTCATGTCTTCACATTCATAGTTATGATGGTCCAGGATCAACAGGGAGATAATGATTCAGGAGCAGCATGGCATTGACAGTCCTGGATCAACATTAGCAAATCTAACCAGGTCTAGCACAATTATAATGATCCAGGATCAACTTGGTGACAGAGATTCAGGATCAACATGGAACTGATGGTCCTGGATCAATATTCGAAAAATATATAAAGGAATATCATATTTATGATGGTCCTGAATCAACATTAGCGAATATATCCAAAATTACTGAAATGATCTGGATCTGGAAACAGTACAACCAAGTAGATGCACTCACATCAGTGCTTCATGCACGGTTTTACTTTTTGCTCTCAGAGCAATACTTTGTGAATCAGGCCACTGGAATTTACTGTAATACAACTGGGGTTCAGTAATGCAGCACACCAAAATATTGATTACCAAAATAAAAATAAAAATGGCACTTTGTGTCAAAAATGCTGCTGCTCCGGTTCTACTTTATCTATTGAGTCCATGTACACCTTAGGATCTGTCTCATAAGCTCTCTTTACTCTATGAGACTTTCTCATTTTTTCAAGGAACTGATCATACCCCCAGTCATCTTAAGCGTGTCCCTGCACAGAGCCAAAATTGATCTGATACTGCCTGAGA